CCCAGACGTCATAATATATATATTTACTGCCTGTTAGGGGCCGTCCTTAACAGTTCATGAATGAATATATGGCATAAGAATGTTAATACCGTAATTTCGCCGAAAATAACTCATTTAGTAGCAGAAATAATGCGTTATTCCTTGTCCCACGTAGTGATGACACTGGCGCTGTTGCCCAAAAACCGAAAGCAGGACCTCCTCCTCAGCACCAGGGCGCCGTCCCTTTAAAACTCAGCGCGACGTCGACAAAGGGTGTACAAAAGGTGTACGCCCTGTGGCTAGACTTCCATTGAACTCCTCCCGGCTTCGCGCATCGGTGATCTCACGCAATAGCCCGCTCCGTTTCGGTCGTGACGCACGCGCGAGGTGCGGGGGCGAGCGCTGTTCCTAATCTGGCCGTGCGATGCGCACAGTGCGTCTGACCCCTTTCCCATCTGGACCTTGACTGGACGCCTTTTCGAGCTGCAGGCAATATTCTAACGGGCGGGGAGAAAACCGGGTAACATTCTCCGTCCTTTCCCGTGAGGCCTTCTCGCCCGCAGCCCAGTGGGTGCACGAAATAGCGGGACCGTATCACCGTATGGTTATTGTTCTGGCTGCAGACAGACAGACAGACAGACAGACAGACAGACAGACAGACAGACAGACAGACAGACTTTATTAGCGAGTGTGTTTGGAACTCTCGGGGTCCCTGGACCACCATGTGGTCCCACACCAGGACTGCACGGCCGTGCTTCTCGCCGTGGTGACATCGGTAGCCCGAGTCACTGCAGTGAGCTGCAACGCCGGATCCTCAGACGAGAGCAGGACCTCCCAGTCCTCCCAGCTTGAGGTGGCAGGCTGTCCCTGCGCGGGAGGATAATCAGGGCAGCTAAATAGAATATGAGAAAAGGTGGCGTGAGGTTCCCCGCAGAAGGAACATTCAGGCGAAGTGCATGCCACTGTAGTGGCGGGACAACAGCTGAGGGGAAGAGTGAGTGCGAGTCTGGAGACGTCGCCATAGAATTTGTTGGGAGTGCGTAAGAGTGAGATTTAAAGAAGGGTAAGTCAAACGGCTCAAACGAGGTACTTGTGTGAGATCTGCAAAAGCGTGCGCATAAAGCAGTTTTGAATGAGGGGCATTTCTTAGCCACACGATGTCGCGCTTCGGCGTCGGTGGTCCACACCCCTATCCACACACTTACCAATCCACACCCTTACCACACCCGCACCGTTCACACCCTTACTGTGCATGATTGCGTCTCGTGCCGCATGCTCGCGTCTCGAGCCGGCCCAGGAAGACACCCGCAAAACTGTCGCTTCCATTCCCCTCTCTCGTCTCGCAAAGCTGACGCAGGCAGCGTCTGCCAGTTAAAAAAAAAATGACTGCTCACGCTGCACAACCGTTCACTGGCCACCCTTCATATGTAGGTAGCGGTGTAGATACAAACAATCTTACACTGTGATGTAGGCACTAGATCGCGCATCAGGAATTCAGTCAAGGACGTCTTTACTTGGCTTTCGTTTGACGTTGAAGGGAATGCTTCTCCTTCATATAATACATAAGAATAATAAAGACAAAATAACAATAAGGCGTTCCCAAACCATACCCAATTACGCAACATTCACGCGACACCCCCACCCCACGGTGGCGGGGGTGCCCCCCGTGGAAAGGTTCGGGTGGCATTTTTTTAGAGGCGAAGCCCTTTATGCCGTGGGTCGTTTCCTCCTCTGTCGTGCTCTTGCCAGCCCACGAGAACAGATAAAGGTTTTTTTTCTAATACACAAAAGAACAAAAATGTGGGAGTCCAAAAAAACAGAGCATTGGACAGAGCGAAACATCACAACAGTGCAAGTAAGTTCTACAGAATCACTCAAGGTGTGGTGGATCTTAGTTATCTGTTTCGAAATATCCTGAATGTTGGTTCACTGAACGCGAAGTTAAGCAATGCAATAAAAAGAACTGCAGTACTACGCACACTATGGTGACAGTAACGTCGAGCACCGTATAGTCTACGGCTTGGAAGAAGTTCATCAACTCAATATTAGCTACGCTGATTCCTTTTTTTTTCTCGGAATCTTGAATAACCTCGGTGAACAGAAATTTTGAAACTGGAGTGTTTGGACGCACTGTGCAGTCGTCGATGCTGATTTGTCGTTCTCGTTGCTTTTTGCTGGCTCATGCTCCCTACTGTGTATTTCCCTCCGTTTTACAACCTGTTCTAATAGCTAAAGCTTCTGTTTATTTTCTAGCACCCACTTCAAGATAAACAGACACGACGGGCACATGTCTTCCCGATGTAATCTCTGCGCACGAATCGGGCGCGAAACCAAGAAGGAGAGAGGCAACGTCATCTTGCGGGTTCTCGACTCGGAGGCTTTTAATCGAGAGCGTCGAACGCAGCCGTCTTTCAAGGGAAGCAGGCAGCAGTGTTACGAAGATGACAGATACGGCGAGCCTCGAGAAAGCCACTTCACCCTCTGGAAGCTGTAAATTCTTGTAGTGCGAGCTTTGCTTTATATATATTCGTTTGTCTTGCTTGAGCCGAAGTTTTTCGTACATTCTCGGGGGGAATGACGCCCACGGAAAACATGACGCCACGCACCGCGCGCGGTTCAAGTTGGCAAGAAATAGCTGCGGGTGCGATGGAAGTTTCGAAAAATCTGAGCAAATATTTTCTCGGAAACCCCGCAAGGGGAGAAGTGCGCGAGAAAGTCATCTGGCCGTTGCTGATGACGGGCGAGTTATTCTGCCTTATTACTTTGCAACGTCGCCGTTGTGTACACTTAGTGCGTGTGTGTAGGTGTCGAGAGCGTTTGTGTGAGGGCCTTGATGCATTTATGACGGTGAACGCTGAGGCGCATGCGCGAGGAGCTCCAGCTCCGGCCTTCACCGCTCCTCCTCGGCGCAGTCAGCCACAAGGACCGGGGAGCGGGAGGGACAAGTGGAAACTCTGAGGTTGGGTACAGTCATTATTCCATTCCTTTTATGCAAGATAACTGGCTCTTTGTAGTAACACAGTGAAGATCAAAAGACTTATAGGAGGGTGCATTCTTTTCTTGCTTCTCTGTGGCTCAAGTTTCAATTGGTAACATTTGTGTCGAGTACAATAGCGGAACTAAAACGCAAGGAAAGATATATTTGGTACCTTTGCCACATCGCGGCCGAATCACTGCCGCACATAGACAAGCAGCGTAATTCGCGTAATACCATTATCGATATCTACGTCATGATGTAGACTAAGTCACCATTATGATGCAATCCTATAGATAATGTAATCATGGGGCAGCTCAGCCAACTGTAAGGTGATTGCTTTAAGGAGCAGCGCAGCTTAAGCTACTGACACCGCTTCTTTTCCGCGTACAAGAGGGAGCTTATTGAAGAGCAAAATACGAGGAACTTATCTGCGTCAAGCCACGTACTTCTATAACTCAACTTGGTCAGTATAGTCACCCGAATTACTTTGATGTCGCGAACAACGCTCTATTCACCGATATACGGAACGTGCACACCGCATTGACGTGCGTGTAGCGGTTGAATGCAGCTGAACGTTTAGGACGCTCTGTGTACGGAGCAAGAGCCGAGGCACGTTTCATGGCGTAGAAGCTCATACGTAATGTACGCACTGTCAGGTTCGTTTGTATTCCGAGATCTTCCACTGCACTTATTCTCGGCGGGACCACCGTTCTCGATTGACGACAAGATGGTCTGGCTTTGTCGGCGAGGGCCCTCTGCGTTTATGGATTTTTTTTTATCCATGAGGATGCTTCCTCATGTGTGTCCGATTAAAAACGGCTTCTTACCGGGCGCGTCCGTTTGTGCAAGTTGTCGTATTACTTTCAATTTGGCAACACTTTGCCGCATTACTCGAAGTCGCAGCGCGGACCAGCTTCTTGTATGTTGTCACGTTTCATTGCGCTAACTGTAGTGCCGATGACTGCGCGCCTTTTCTTCCGTATGCTGTCTTTTGCAAACAATGGAGTCTCGCTGGGTGTTCGAACCACCAATGTCATTTAGCGACAGAAGCATCCAATGGTATTGGTGAAGAGCTTCATTTGGTTAGCTTTTTGTTTATTACTATTTTTAAGTCGCACCTTTTTGCGAAACCACCGAGTTTCCTTCTGTTTTGCAGTGACTCACTCGTGTACGACATGCTGAACTTTCTCCGCGGGCGTTACTATAGCAGCATCAGAGTGCTGAGGGATATAGGAAGTGCGCGAGCTGTATAGGAGCCCGAATGTTATGTGCTATTTAAACATTAGTATCTATTGAACCACCAGAAAGCTTCCACTATGACTAAACAGATATTGTGTTCTTCGCAGAACGGTGCCCGTTGAGCCTGCTAGCAGCAATGTTACTTCTCGTCCTAGCGTCGATGAGCTGGCTAACGTAATGGAGAAGCATCCTTGGAGGGCAGGTAAGAAGCAGGTTTAAAAGAAACACGGTTTGCTATGCATTTTCCTAACACAACTTGGAGGCGTAAGCCATCTACTTTTTATTCTCGGTCAATTGTATTGATCCTCCCCCTCCCCCTCAAAAAAAGAAAACTTTTTTACAGCTCAAGTGGTTTAGCTTTGCCTCCGGAATCGGCCCACTTTTCAGCAGGTGACGAAGTCATGTGATCGTAATGATGCTGATGTCATGTTATATAGTGACTTCATGACGACGTCGCAGATAGTGGTGACGGGTGACGTGAGAATGACGTCAGAAGGCGACGTGTTCACGTAGTGATTTTGTGTATCAACCGTGTAGACTCCTATCTCACTTTTGGAAACCTAATGAGGTTTCTGTAGCTTTCGCTTTATATAATCACGCATAAGGTCACAGCACAAGCCATGGAAGAGAGCTCTCGACACTCTCAATCAGGCTTGCTTTCACCGCCTATTTTAACCAGAGCAGTCGAAGAGCAGCACGCGCAAACTAAACTCGCGTTCTAAGTGTAGCTCGAACATATACGTACAGCGGAGCCTCTCAACAATACAGGACGTGAAGTACTTGCTTCCTCTCACAGGGCTCACCTGTCCAGCGGAAGAGAAGCTTGCCACCTTCGAGGACGAATACAGGCTGATGACAAGCCGGCTTCAGAATGTTGACTGGAATTTCGCTACAAACATGACGTTCCAAACCAGAGCCCTACGCGACAACTTCCAGCCATTTTACAACGCGTGGATGTCGTCATGGAAGAAATGGGCCAGGCTTTCACGGGTTACGAGGGAGCGTGTTCGGCGAGTTCCGTGGAAATCATCAGCATGATGAAAGCTGGCGTGGTCATGCAGGATCCCGAAAAGGCAAAGTAAGAGTAGTGTCCATAGCTGTCTATTAGATGTCTCTACACGTACGAGATGAAGGCGCGAAGACGCGGCTGTATTCTTGAGGACATTATTGGGGAGTTTTAGAATACTGTTTGAAAGCGCTGCGGGCGTTGCGGGCGTAGCGGGAGACATATGAGTTTTAGAATAGCGTTTGCTCTGCTGCAAACCGCAACGCACGGTCGCTGTAACACCGTAGCCTCGAAACCAGCGCTTGCGGGCCACATGCGGGCTGCGATCGCCGCACGCAATGTCGGATTTTCTGCGTGCGGTCCGCGAACGCGAACGCCGACTCGCGTTACGACGCATGCGCAAGCGACCGCATCGCAAGGGCTCGCGGTGCGCTGTTCTACAACTCCCTATTTTGTCCAGAGGTTTGACCTGCGTTACGCAAGTGATTACACGACAAACAGTTCCCCGCTTTTCATGGATTTTCCGTTTGATGTTCTGCGAATAGCAGATTTACGCGATTGCCTCTATGTATAGGAGTCTCTTTCCGCCACTGCCAAAGCGTGCTCTAAGATTGCCCAAGCCTAACCTTTATAGGTATTGGCCGGCGCTTCCCGTTACCACATGCCCACCATGCGTTGGTGTGCGACACGCATGATTGCGTTGTGCCTTTTCGGATAGAATTAGGTCCACCACCTTGCACATACTGTAGTGCGAGGTCTACCCGTCTTCGTTTTCCAAAAGCCGCAATGGAGACTGTAATTTCTGATGTATTTATATGAAGTGTCCTGCGGGCGGGCATGTATGAAGAAGTATGAGTTTTGTTCTAAATGTGCGCTAAGTGCACAAAATATTTTCGTGATCAGAGCAACGCTTAGTAGCCGCCCTGGAGGCTTTTCTTAAAAGTGTTTCCTGTATTTTACCGGTGCAATGCATGACTGAATAGAGAGCCCTTGATTTGGTTGTTCCGCTTTATATCTTCTTGCATGATGGCCTGTCTGAGCAATAATACATTTTCTTCTTTGCCGAGGTCAGTTTCAAATTCCCATTTTAGAATTGTCAGGGATAGTGCAATAGTCATTTTGGTTTTTTTTTCTATTTTTGCAAACTAGTGTATTTGAACCAAGCCACCTTTCGGTTGCAGGAAAGTGTCCGAACTGCGAACAGCAATGATATCCTATTCTGCCAAAAAGAACTACAATGATCTGGAGCGCTACATGGCCGGAACGACCGATCCCAATCAGCTGAAGTTCAACTGGCTTCATTGGGCGAAGTGGCAGAATGCTTCTCAGGTTTTCTTCGCCGCTTTGGTGTCCATGTTGAATGAAGCAGCCGTTAGCAATGGTAAGTGTGTTAGTCACGATAAATTTAAGAGAATATATTTGAGACGCAGCAGCAGATACTTGGCAGTGGTATGATATACATACACATGTTCTCAGATAAGAGAGTAGCAAGCCACAATATTTCTTTTTATCATTGTTCTCGCATTTTTATCGCGTTATCATAATAAAAGGACTCATGCTCGGGCCTGTACGCATTTGTAGATAAACTTAAGGTAGGCGTTCTCAAATTTTATGGCCTTGGAGAACCTGAACAGATTTTTCAGAGGGCCACGTAATCCCAAGCCATTTTCTTAGGAGCATGAGGACAATCGAAAAGCGGAGGTGGTGGCGTGGTTGAGGTGCACGTGCTCGCCTCTTGACACGCCAAACCCCATGGTTAACAATGCGTTGGTCGTTCCATTTCTATTATTCATACACTGTGAGGTAAACAGTCACTTGAGCTTTCATCAACATGTATGAAAACTATGCCACGTTATTGTTGACGTGCCATGAGCCACGAACAAAGCTTTGAGGTGAGTGTTAATGTCGTTTGAGCTGGTTTGAACGCCCGGGACCATAAATCGCTGCGCGCGTTCTGTCAACTCGGGCCGCAAATTGTGCAAGTTCCAGGGTGTGCTCTAGGCGACGAACTTTCAGTGCTACTATCGAGTGGGTCTCTCGCTAACCGCAGACACCCGATGTGTGAATGTGGCATGTGACGGGTTCCCTGAGAGAACAGTACAACGAGCATTTGCTTGTCTAAATAAATAAATTTGGTGCTATTGGTGGTAAAATGGGAGCAGGTCACACCCATTTCTGCCGCTCGCAGAACCCTAAGATGTCCTTCACAGAATCATTAGGGTTCCGCGGAACCCAGTTTGAGAACCCATGCCTTAAGAGATGGGCATTCCTATTTTATAAATGAATTAGCTATAGGATTGCAGTGGTTGTAGAAAACAGAACTGCACGGAAGAGACTTCCTAGCACAGAAACAGTGCTTACGAACAGAATCATTTGTTTGGGCACAGCCCCAAAGCATTCCGCTTCTGTCGAAAAGAGATACATATATAGTTACCATTTTCTTTGTTCGAATACATTAGTACATGTAGACAGGCTGCACATTTGTTCAACATTATACACATATTCATCAATCTTTCAAACAAGCAAAATATTTTTTTCTTTTATTATAAGAGTTGCTATGGTAACTTGTATCGCCGCCACTGCAGCCCTTCATAAAGGTTTATCTTGCCAGACAGGATCCAAAGTGCACGGGAATGTATGGAATAGCACGGAAAGAAACTGCAGTGATGCGAAACGGGCCAAAGCAACGCCCCACTTGAGAGTCCTGCACAACACGTGGATTGCGAGATTTGTCGAATGCATGCATGCCAGCACATGTAAACCTAACATTGCTTCAGACGACTGTGTTACGGCATAAAAGACGTGAGGGCCGACCCAGTGGCTCTGTTTTGCGTACTCCATGCGTCATTAGGGTCACATTAGGTGACACAATCTATTACGTAATGACTATACAGCGCAAGCTTTTTCGCCCGTTGTGTTTCTGCTGCTTAGGTTGTGAACTGCACGCTTCGCTTCTCCATGTCTACATTCGTCAAGTGTAAAGGTCCCCATAGGCTGGTTGCACGAAGTTTTTCTGGACAGTGCGAAATATCTTTCATAGTGGTATTGAGCGCAAACACAAGGCAACAGACGTGCGAGAGGAGGTATACGCAGCGTGGGACACGCAACCACGACGCTTTATTGCATTATGCCATCAGCACTGATATGTTAGCTTCGTGCTTTAAGATAGTGAAGCAGTTTTCTTCGAACGAAATGTCGCGCAGGTTACCGCCACTACGCCGAGAGTTGGAACGAGGGCTTGGATGTAGAGCATGAGAGTGCCCGCCTATGGGAGCAAGTGCAGCCGCTCTACTTGGAGCTACACGCTTACGTACGTGGGGCCCTTCTACGAAGATACGGGAAGGAACTTCATCCAAGACAACCGATTCCAGTACATCTCTTAGGTAAGTACTGTAGTTCCGACGTATGAACGCTCAGTGTAACGGTATTGGTGTATACAGTTGTAAACCGGAAACAGTCAACATTCCATGTAAGTAACTTGCTGTCAGCTTCATGTTTATATAAGGAAAAAAAAAAAGAAATAATCTCCTTACTCCATTTTTCCTGCCTTATGAAACACGGACTGATACCAGCCATTGAGGATCAGTAGATGTAGGGGCACTTCTGAGCACGAGGATGAAGGTCTGTTACCTGGGCGCGGCCGCCGCATTCCCTAAGTAATGTGCTGTGACAAAAAATTTCTGGCAACTTGTGTCGCACATGAGTTGGAGAATACAATTTGATTGAAATAACGCCAGAGCCTTTCGCCATGGATTCTATCTAAACGCACTTTAGATAAAGCGGGGAAAGTTCATTCTACCAGTATACGGCAACACTAGAGCACTACAATTTTGCGCATTCACTAAAGTGTAATTTATGCAAACCCTAGACGGAATTTTACAGAGATTTCAATGATACACTGTGCACTGCTATGATGCTATGAAAAAAAAGAAGTCTATTACCTTTCAAAGAACTGAAAAGTGTTACAAATTCTAATTCAATTATAACAAATGCAGATGGCAACAACTTGCCGCTGGATGTCATAGTTTTGGACATGTTGCTCCCTGCAAACTGTCTCGAGTTACGCAATTGTTTTCTAATAAGTGGCTGTCATTGTTATTTTGAGTGCAATGATGGTAAATTATCACGGCGTCGCGTCAAACACTGCAGTTTTTGAAGTTTTATTCATATTATTCAAGGAAACGCACATTCAGCTGATCTACATCGTGTTTACTACACTGCTCTGAAGAGACAGATAAATGGGCGAAAAGAACATTTTATGAGAGGGATGGGCAGTATGCAAGCTGTTGCAAATAATTTCTGGGTGGTTCAGCGCGTCTTAGCAGACAATTCATTTATAGACAGCACTTATTGTGTTTGTGTAGCATAAGCGCTGGCTTATTTCACTTCCTTTTGCGCCGTAGAAAATTCCGTGCAGATCACATTAACACTATTCTAATATTTCACATCTCATCGTCAGCTTGAGTTCTTCGTGGAGTGTGCGTGAGCGTACATATAATGTCGAAGCCCAATAAATTTGCACATTGCAAATTGCGCCTACATTTATACGACGTATACGAAGCGGAACTAAATTATAGTAGCTGCATACAACAATCGTAGACATGATTTTATCCTTAAAAACGTAAGCAACTGTATAAGCAGAGCTGTGTTTTATGCCAATTTATGGTGCACTGTTATCACGGTCTTGATCGTCGCAATTACGGGCCACATTTCTCGAATTCGCACCTCGTACACGTATGCTTGTCTACAGTGCAAGCAATGTGTTGCATCCCTGGTATAAACAAAGGGCACTTCCTTTTGTAACATGGTATATGGTAACAAGGACGTTAATTGAATGAGACTAGTTGCCTGTGGAGTTTATTCCCGTTCTTTAGCACTTTTATATATACTACAATATGACGCAGCGCAATGGCGACACTACAGTTTTCTTAAGTTCCGGGGGGTCACACAAGCATGCACTGCATCGCACACCGTTTTACATGCATTTAAGAGAAGACGTCCCAAGAAGAAAAAGAAAGCACGAGCATTGATTTGATTATCAACCTTTGTGGGACCGTATTGCGGACATTACATTAGACAGGAGCCGCTCTTATCAAAGTGCATGCCCTGCAGAACTATACCTCTTCATAAACGTACTTTTGAAGAGTGCCCCACAGCTCCCCCAGTTTTAATTATTTTATCTAAATGGCAACTGCTTTCTTGTGCAGCACATTCAGAACGGGCATTGACAGGTGGCCCTGTCATGCCCCAGGTTCAGACTTGATCCTTGGCTTTTATAAGATGAATAAATGATGATGATGATGATGGATCATCATCATCATCATAATCATCATAATCCTCATCATAATCATCCTCATTATCATGATGATGGCGGCCTACATTTATGGATCACGCCCACTCTGGGTGATTGGCCAAGAAACGAATAATTTATAGAAAAAAACAAATCAATATGTTCTATTTTCTCTTCCCCCTCGTCATGGCCTGAGCACGCACGAGTGGGTGTGACATCGCAAACCACCGGGTGACGGGCTGTGATGGGAAGTGGCCCACTTCTCCTTACAGGCAATCCTTTCGGCGAGAACTGGAGAAACTTGGCGGACTTGGTTGTGCCGGCTGACCTTCGGAGGCGCTCCGCCGAGCGGGCGCAGCCGGAGAGGAGCGGCTCGGCATCCGACTGCATGAGAAAGGCCGACGCCCATTACCAGGCGCTCGGTTTCCCACCGATGCCGCCCCTGTTTTGGAAGAACTCCGTCTTTGAAAGGCCCGATAACTGCACCGCCATGGATTGCCACCCGACGGCTTACGACTTTGGCGATGGCAGGGACTTCCGGTGGGAGATTTTAGATACGTAGTATAGATGTCTGTGATTGCTTGTATGGCTGCTAGCGGGGTTCTTACTTTTGCTTTACGTGGTTAGAGAACTACATGTAGGCCAGCTCACAGCCTGATCCATTCAATGGGTCAACCTAAATGTGTCGTTTTGCAGACTATACGACCGATTAAGTAGGCCGAAGTACTATTTACCCCATTAAATTGCGTGAGACGTATTGGCTTCTTGGTGCTTGTGTTCGACTGAAATGAACGGACAATAACTAAATAACAAACCATGTTTGTTAAACATGAAAATACCAATTATTTTAGATAACTAGTCCGCACGAAATCCATACTCGAAGGTACCTTTCAGAGCGTCACTTTCATATGCTAACGATGTAGCAAACAAAGTGAGATGTGCGAAAGAGACAGCCGGCCTAATGCACACGCAGGGAAAGCTGTGAGAACAATTTCACACTCAGACATTTGAAATGGTCGTAGGGAACAGCTTCTTCCGTCTTCTAGAAGTTTCCCAACGTGTCGAACTTGTACGCAGTCGGCGCGACTAAACATTATTGGCGTCACGTCGAATGTGTTGTGCGAATACAGGAAACATCCAACTCACTTTCGGCTCACCTCACGTCTTAACTTGCAAGGCAGCACGTTCTTTCGTCTCGTTCGCTTCCCGTCGCGGTCACAACCTATCTTACCCCGTAGTTTCCTGCCTCCTTATTGCTTGTGTGATGATGCTTCTTTTGCCTGGCAAACCAAGGATCAAGGCCTGCCTGGTTGGTTCGAAGGCAGACGAAGAGACCGCCTTCCATGAAATGGGTCACGTACACTATTTCTTGGCCTACCGACACCAGCGGTCATTGTTCAGAACGGCGCCGTTAGCGGCCCTCCACGAAGCCATTGGGGAAGCCTTTGGTCACGCTGCCGCCGTCTGCAGCAGTGGTGGTAAGTTTGGCATGTTACTGTCTTCGCAGTACAGAAAGGCTTGGCACCTTTGAAAAGCAAGCGTTCCTTTTCTGGCCACATGTAATCGTGGCTCTGTTTAGTCGGCACTCAATACGGCCTGCTTCCTCAATTTATTTTTGTGAGCCGCATATGTATGCCTCTCAACGGCGCTCGGAGCGGCCAGCAAACGCGTATTCTGGTTAGACCCTTTCTGTTTCATAAACTAATTATTCCCTTCTTTTGTAGAGAAAACTGTGTTAACAAAATTTTATTATATTCCAGTCAGTTAACATCAAAAACAATACAAATGACAAAACAGTCTTCGATCCCTGCCGGCGGGAAGATATCTTTCCGTCAAGTTTTCTTTTTCCACATTTACAATAAAATTACTTATAATATAACTCTGTATTTCTATATTTTACACCTGCAAATACATATCGGAATTTAATTGAATTGAATAACATACCCTGCACTTTTTGGCATCATTGTCTGTTAGTTCCCATTAAAACAGACTTCAGTCACACATGGACACAAAATATGAAATGACGGGAAGGCAAGATGTACTATCAATGCTTTAGATATTTATGCACGCGCGCACAAACACAAATTTGTCACAAAAAATAGGCATAGATAATCGCGTTACATGATGAATAAAAAGCACAAATAAAATACGTGAACATGTACATTTCCCTATCGGAAAAATTGCCATGGTGGATACTAGAAAACATGGTGGGCGTAGTGGAAATAATAGTGGGAATGGTGGAAATTATGATGGATATGGTGGGACGTAGTGGAAATTATGGTGGATAGGCCGGGACATACTGTGTGGTATGGTATACAGAAGATGGGTAAAATGGAAATGATGGTGGAAAGTAGAGGCTAGATAGTGGGCAATCATGGGACACTCTGCCCACCATCGCGATAATGCTGGGAAGCCCTAAGCAGATGATGGGTGCTGCTTGTTATGGTGGGCCACATAGTGTACTAAGCTCAGAAGCTCTGCCCACCATAGCGATAATGCTGGGAAGCAGTAAGCAGATAATGGGTGGGCTTATAATGGCGGGCAATTTATATAGTGTACCAAGCTGGGATCTGTACACTACATGTTCTACTACCATGATTTCCACCAAAGGTTAAGCCTACCGACCGAGCCCATACAATTGTGTTATCCGTGCTTCCTGGTTTCAGAATACACGATTTCGACGATTAAGAATTACAATGCAGCGCAGCCATGGCATCAATCAACCTAAATCAAGCATTTTTCATTGTGCATGGTGTCCGCTCAAGAAGCAACAAACATCGATGCGACGCGATTCAAGCACTCCCAGAGAACGTACGTCTCTTCTCACCGACAGCCGCCGGTCGCACTCGCCGGCACTTCTCTAGCTTTTGTGCGAGAACTCAGACGTGGCAGTTCGTGTGCTTGGGGAACCAATATGATAGCGTAATGTTTCTGGCACACTGCATTCGTTTTGGTCAAGCCGTTATGTAGTTGTTGCTTTAGCGAAAGAGCTACAGCATTGCGCTGGCACGACCGCCCTCTACATTGCGCGAAAAGCATCCCAATACTCAATCATTAAATTAGGCGGGCGTATCTATGGAATGAGCCTAGAAGCGTCATAAAGCGTGAGCAGATGTCGCCCTTTAGAACGAGTGCGAAACGGATATTAAACTTGGCAGACCCCGCCGGTAAACTGTTGCTGCTCCCCAGTCCACTTGGGTTTTTTTTTTCTTGCAGTTGTGATTTGTTAAAAAAAATAGCACTGGTGCCATTAACACAGTGGCAATCGTTACAGGTAGCAGTTGCTTGTGTTTATTAAATGTGCAATTTTTAGTAGCAGGTGCAGATCTCGTCTATGTCGTGTACACGACAAACATAACTGAAGTTGAACCGTAAGTTTGTATGCCAACTAACTATTTAACACACAACCAACCTCATGTTGCTATGGCGCAGTTGCAGGTTACACTTGTTGATTGCTTACCAGATTTAATTGTTTCATCGAACTTCTCCGAACGCCCATGCTTGTGGGGATTCATGCAGGAAGTTTACTTCGCAGTTTAGTTCCTTAAAGCTCGCTTTTCTGTAGAATACCTGTACACAGTATCGCGCAAGGTGCTGTATAAGGACCTACTGAGTACACTCTTCCCACCTCCATTGTACCGCTCACTGTACTCCAATCTTCCAGGCCACGATGTGTTGAAGCGAGTGCGCAAAATGTACATTCCACCGAATTCAAAAACATTCTTCTATAAACTCCACTCTGAAACATTGGCGGTAAACACATGGTTAGAAAGAAAGGGTATTTTCATTCCGTCTAACTGCCGTCTATGTGATGTGCCGGAAACGATTGAACATTGCTTTGTTAGCTGCGAAGATGCCATACTGTTTTGGAATGTCCTTCAGCGAGCACTGAAAAAACGTTTCGTCATTAATTCTCACACAAAACGTTATATTCTACCAGCAGCGCTTGATGAAGTACCATATGATATGTTTTTCCTCATGGGTATGCACAGCTTGTGGAAGACACAAATGCAAGACCGCAATGCAGAGCCCACCACCTCTTCAAGCGCACACTTCATTCAAATGGCTATCCACCTAAAAAACATTTACGACGAGCTAGACTTTAGACCGGACTGGTACTCCATCTTAGAGAACTGTTTGACATCACCCATTTTTTCTTTGTATAACACGATGTGAAGAACTCTCCATGTGAGGAACTCACGCTGTGTTAGCCAATTGGTGTTTATGAGTAACGCTTGAGTGCTTATTTTCGCGATTTGATTGCACTTTTGTTCGCTTGGTTTTGTCTTTATTGCGCAAACACTTTAATAAATACCATGAAAAAAAAAGTTGGTATGGCGCAGGGGTTAGTATCTCCGAATAGGAATCCGCAGGTTGCACGTTCAATCCTCCGTGGCACCTCGCTTTTTTTTTTTTACGGGACGGGTGTTTTTTTATACCGTTTTTATATAATTTTTTTTCCTTTTTTGTGGCAGCTCGTCACGGTGATTCTGATGCTATTTCGCGCTCAAGCGTTGCCGGCACTGCAGCACCAACCATATCCCACCATGCACCATGGTGGGCGTTTCCCACCATTCACCCACTACATTAATCCACTATAATGGTGGGTGGTGGATCACACCATGCCCACCATTCGTTATTTTCCGATAGGGTTACGTATTTAAAATTCCATTCCTCTGCAGTTCAGGTGAGTACAACTGCACGAAGGAACAATGCTCACTTGAATGACAAGTATAGACAGGAAGGAACAGGTACGTTGTATGGCACTGCGACGTCACCCCTGATCAGTCACGAAAAAAAAGGAAACACATAAGCTCAACAAGTGTGCAGAAATTCACGCATCAGTTAGGAAGTAGTGCTACATTTGTCCTGTAAACATGCTAGTATTCACTTTCTAAAGATCACAACATTCCTCTTTATACAGGAACGTTTAGCATCATCTTCATTAGCAGCAAGTTCTGCGATACTTTATTCTCAGTGCCCATATAACACACAAGGACTACCAAGGTGCAGATTTCTCTTTATGCTTATATTTTTTTTAGCTGAAAACTCTCTAGCACTTTTCTTCGTTTTTTTTTGTACCTTTCTTTACACATAGTGAATTTCTGTTATTTCGTAAAACACAACTTTGATATCCTTGCGCCTCTTCGTTCTTTAGCTTTCGTTAGATTATTATTGAATGCGACATTCACAATTGTCGATGTTACTGTGGCGAAAATATATTACCAGTGATTGAAGAAACCAAAATGTCAAAGCTTGGGAGGCAGTGGTTTTCTAATGAAAAAGGTGCTAGAAGGATTGTCTATGGCGAGAGTGAAATCAGCACTATTATCGAAGCGTAGGGTGCCAAACGCATTAGCAACTCGCTGAACTGGTCTGTAAGAGAGGAGCTGAGAGTGGCAAGGCTTCGGCGTAGGGCGACAGCTATATTCCTCCCGCCAGAAATAAAAAAAAAAACACCTGGCTCTGCTATGCAGACCTTCGGGCTCAGCCAAAGTCAACGCCGGGGAAAGAGCTTCAGTGAAAATCTGGCTTGGTGCGTTCGCGAAAGCGATCAGTGACTCAAGCATGGCCTCCGAGATGGCGGGCACGCGGCGTGATTCAAGGTCAGTGTTTCACGCTGCCACCGCCGGAGGCGTTGGCTGCATTTAAGTTCACTGCGCGCTGGCCCCGGGGGCGCCGAGCAGCGTCAGTGTGCTGTCTTCTTGGTGGAACACGTCGGCTTTGTTATAGAGGCGTTTTGTCCAAGCGTGTAGACTTGCGGGGACCCTTGCCGCTAAGACACACAAAAATTAAACGACACTTTGTAAATTCCGAAGCGTGCTCAGCGAAGACTTGTGGCCATTTGACTGACTATGCCATGTCTTACTTTTTTGCGTTTTACAAGCAATCACGTGGCTGATAAGACAGTGTGAGTGGAAAGGGCCGCAGCTGTAACTGTTGCTATGCACCGTGTGCCATAAGGTGATTGCTGAGAGTGTGAGGTATAGAGGCCACAGCTAGCACCGTTCCAGGGCACGGATGGACAGAAGGGCGCGAGTATGAGACATTAAAGGTTTTCGTCTTAATAAAATTAAATCTCTGCTAACCATTGGTCTCGTACTTTATCAAAGTAAACAAAGCTGATATGCCGGTTGGTCTACCGACTTGGTTTAACGGCATTCCACTATGGCAACTTCTTATAGTGACATATGAAAACCAATTTTATTTTTTTTTCTCTACCAAGAACCGAGAAAGGCAGATACTTAAAGTAAGAAGATATCCTATGAAGTAGGTGTTTCATAATTAGCGACAACCATGTTTCCGAATCTTCAAAGCACTGCTTTATAATCTACGTGTCTCAACAGTGAGAACATTGTTCCAAGAATGTCCTCGCTGTGCAGTGCTTTCTAGAACAAGTGTCACTATATCTGTCTATTTGAAGACTTGCAAACGCCGGAAATTGTGAATCGCACTCGCTCTATATTATGCACTAAGT